ACCAATGCGTGCAGTGAAGGCAATGTGGTACACGCCATGTACACTGACATCAAAAAGACTTTCGACGACGTTACTCACCAACACCTCCTATGCAAACTACGCAACGCAGGAGTTTTCCGAAGCCTCCTTGTACGAATCCGCAACTTGTTGACTGGACGGTCCCAACGAGTACAAGCCAAGCGCCGGCAGGCCTCAGAGGTAACCATGGGGAGCGGCGTTCCACAAGGTTCGGTTTCCGGCCTAATATTATTCCTTGTTTTCGTCAATAATTGCGTCAGGTACCTAGACTGTGATGTCATCCTGGTCGCTGAAAACATAAAATTGTGGAAGGGTTCTGATTTGTGAGTTACAGCTTCACTTAAACCAACACTAAACAGCACGAAGGCGACAAAGTCGGCCATGTCTATTTTCCAACTCATTAAAAGGGTCCTTAAGAGGCTTAATTGTGGTGGCCCTTAGCTATATTTTCATTTATGCCCCACTCGTTGTAAGTATTCCGTTTATTTGTCACTTCCACAACTCGCATTTGTGCATGCTTTTTAAAGTTAGTGTTTATTAACACTCACGTGGTACACTCCAATTCGTGAGTTTCGGTACCATTAACTGACTTTTCTTTCATCGCCTTTGTTCTTCACGGACCGGCGTTGACATCTAAGTCCGCTCTAACGTGACAGTTGTGATTGGCTTATCTTGACTTATCTGTAGTGTAGGATCGTATTACCGATCGTCCTAGCTCTTGAAATGATAAAGACAGCTCCTCCAAATATTTGAAACCTCCATGTGGCCACATTCGGGATACGCTATAGAGGCATGGAGACACTGAACTGTCAAGGACTGTACTGTTTTAGAGAAGATCTAGAGGTGGGTGAAAAAAAACAGTCCAAGGTTTGGGGTCACTGTCCTATGAAAACAGACGGTCGACCCTCAATCTCTTTCCCCTTTCTTACAGGCAGCGACGAGGGGTCTCATGCTAACTTTCGGGATTATATACGGCCTGGACTGTAGCTCTATCCCCAACGACTTCACTCTTGTCCATTTTGCGCTGTCATCCTCTAAAAATACGCACAGGGAAAGCTAGGATTGGTGGACGCATGTTCTTCTTCAGTACCAGAGTGGTTTTAGTGTGAAACGCTCTGCCCGCTGATGCTGTTCTCTCTTCAAGTGTGGATTACTTTAAAGCCAGACACGGCACGCATTATATTTCTCACCAGCCACTCTCATCCTCCACACCCTCAACAGCGTGCAATTTAAATTGCGTACTTTCAGTAATTAAGTACAACTTTATGTTCATATTTTTACGTCCGCAACAGCTTGTGGCCCGCAATTGTGCTAACAATATCCTCTTGAATGTTCTGTATGTATCGGTGCTTTTTTCCTCGAGATTTTTGTAACCCCTAGGGAATCCGCAGACATTCGCCTATTTTCCCCGAATAAAACGGAACTGAAACAAGGGAGAAATCTTAAAGTCTGGAGCGTTGTGTTGAGCAATTCAGGAGCTTCCACCATGTTCTCCGACGACCACCAACAGGATTTCTCAAGTAAAAGCGGACGTCAAGCTCTACCGCCAGCCCTCGTTGGAAGAGACCACCAAAGCTGTAAGTCAGATGCCCTGAGTCAAAGCACGCACACGGACTCCATTACATCCGAAATCTATAAAAACAGCGGCACTTGGCCATTGAAAAAGCTTACTTCAGGAGATGAAGCGACGAGGATAACTGATCCAAAACTTGGAGGATGCGAAAACCGTCCAGATATTAATGTGTAAGGGAAACCACGAGAGCATCTCCCTCCCCAACATTGCTGGAAACGTCTTCGTCTGCGTCCTCCTTAATCGCATGAAAACGCACCTCCAGCAGGATCACTCCCAGAAACGGAGCATGGAGTTTGAAACCATCACCGGACCAAGGACATGATTTTCGTTGCCCGCCAACTACATGATCCATGTAAATAAATTATGACCAGAAATTACACCACTTCTGTGGATCCCACGAGGGCTTTTGACCCAGTGAATTGCGATGGACTCTGGCGAATCGTACTGAAATGCAGCTTTCCTGAGCTCTTCACTCGTCGGTCGCCTGCAAACCCATCGCACGGGGAACGGCGGATGAGTACCAGGAGTCTGCACTTTCCACATACATTCAATCACCGCACTCGTCGAACGCACCTCACCTGTCAACAATTCCTCAGGACATTCAGACGTCGCGTGGATCTTCTCGGTCAAATGTGCATCCATGGAAATCCGCGGTAAAAAAACACATTCCGGCTCCAATCACCACAATTCACCCTATTAACCCGCACGCGCCTAGACCGCATATGAATCTGCTCCATCTGAGCACCCCTCCCTGTAACACACTAACTCTTTCTGAAGGCAAGCGCTTGGCCTGTTACATCATCGCCCGTGTGGCAGATAAAACGATAAATGTCCTAACATGCGCACTTCGACAAACGCCAAACACGTTCTTGGTGTACCCTAGGTTAATAAATGGTGAGAGGGTCGTGTATGGCACGCGCAGACGGCGTGTCTGGCTTCGTCAGGCACAGTACCCAATCCTCATCATATGCTTGCTGGCAGGCTCGGACAGTTGACTGGGAGATGGGAGTGAGTGAGGTCGACAATGGGGAATAAACCCTCATGGTGCATTAACGCACTCCTCAATATTACAGATTCATCTAGGTGGAATCCATTCCAGTTAACTTATAGTCGGGACTTGGCAGGCTACCAACTGACGGGATTACTCGCTCTTCGTTGTCAATACTGAGTGTATGGGGTGGTTGACCTTAGAACAGAGAATCGGCCTCAACGGGTCTATCTTAATTTGACCTTTATGGCACTTCCATGCACGTGAGTTCTGCTTCGCCCTCCCGAAAGCCTGGTACATGCTGCTGTAGCCAGGTTGTGTGTGTGACATGCATGGGCGGCTTGCTAAGCTTTGTCAGCCACTGCAAGACAACACTCCCGCCCGTTTACGTTGTGACACCGCCTTCCACTCCCGGTTTTATCTGGTTGAGCATCGCCGTACTCTCACAACCTGAAAAGCCAAAAATTCACAAACAACACCTACCACCATCGGCAACGTTGAGACGGTGCCGACCTGTCTACATTACGGTCGCACATTTCAATCACGCATTGATTTGTCCATACATCTACAAGTCAGTCGCAGTATGACCGGTTAATCAGTTCCTGGAGCCCTATCCAACACGTTTATCTCACGCATCCTTCGCTTACACGGTATCCTCACAATCAAATACTTAGTGGATCTATTCCGTGGTATGTGGCATCCATCTCTAATACAGTAAAAGTACACTGACGTTTGCCGGCATCGGTAATGACGGTTGGCGTTCTATAATTCCTTGTGAGAGGGAAAGCTAGTGGGGCCAATCCTGGAGAAGCTGTTCTCACGACGGATCGGTTCAGTCATCGCTTATGCGCTCCTAAATCCGTGACCTGAACGGCTACCAGCATGAGGAAATCGGTCCTCCTTGGCAGCAACGATCAGGCTGCAGAGGTTCCGTCTTAATGTGGCTCCTACAGGACTCACGGGAGTCTCAGTCCCTATTGGAGTCCGATCTACACGAAGTTCGGTGGCAAGTCTTCCCTCACACAGTTGGATGTCGATTCATGGGTATGCGGATGTTCACTTGTGAGCTAACGTGATGGTCGTGGTAGGTCGCTCACCTGCTTGCAGGTGTAGACTACGCCTGTGGCTCCGTGAAGCTAGGCTCAACTTAGCGGCCACACCCCGATAACCGCCTCGAATGGCGGGCCAAACCAGGTGAGGATACACGTGTGCGCATCTCCATACACGGTAACTCGGCTTCGCTGGCCGGATGGATTTTCGCATCGGCATCGTCGAGACGAGGCTCCGTCCGGTACACCGCAGGAGACCACAAGCTTAGGGCGATGTCGTAGGATCTCAAATGATAACTCGGGTAGTTCTTCCACTACCCCAAAGATGTGGCCCATGTTGGAGTTCGACAGCGCCTGACACAGCTGAATGTCCCTATTTAGGGTGAGCACTGTCCACCACCGCGAGGAGAAAGAAGCTAGAAAAGGTGCCCTAAACAAATGCTGCGCGATCACGCCGTCTGCAGGCTGAACGTGGTCGCAGACGCCAAACTCACGGTCGAAACAACGAAAGAAGAAACAAAAACACACTCTCTGTTCCTCCTCCTTCTCGCCGCCCCACTCGCCAGACTGGTAGGTTGAGTCCGCTCACTCTGACAGCCTGGAATGTTCGTTCCCTTCTACACAGCCCGAGGAGCAACCGACCGGAATGGAGGACTGCACAAGTGGCTTGAGAACTGGCGCGCTACAAGATGGACATCTCTACACTCAGTGAGACTCGCTTCTCCAAACAAGGTCAAGTGGAGGAGGTGGGTACCGGCTATACCTTCTTCTGGAGCGGTTGCCCTAGGGCGGAGTGACTGGACGTTGGCGTCGCCTTTGCCATCCGGAATGACATCGTGGGAAGTCTGTCCTCTCTGTCGCAGGGCATCAACGATCGCCTGATGAGCCTCGGCCTGCCTATCTAGGGATACAAATTCGCCACCACAATCAGCGTCTTCGCCCCCCCCCCGCATACTAGCTCTGACGCTGAAAGGGATAAATCCTACGAGGGCCTGCACGTCCTCCTGGCGACTATGTTGAATGTGGATAAGTTGACTATCTTTGGTGACTTCAACGCCCGCGTCGGCACAGACCATGCTGCCTGGAGAGGAGTGCTAGGTCCCCATGGTCTCCAAGACTCCAAATACAATGGCTTACCTCTCCTACGAATCTGCGCAGAACACGGACTCATCCTGACCAACACCTTCTTCTGCTTACCGACGCGAGTGAAGACGACCTGGATGCACTCTCGGTCGCGACACTGGCGCCCCTGAACTAGGTCCTTGTCCGGAGGCGAGACCAGCGGGACGTACTGGTGACAAAGGCGATTCCGGGCGCTCATGGGTCGACCGACCATCGCCTCGGCTAGACAACCTTTCAGTCGCTGTCGTCGTTACCGCAGCTGACGAGAACGCATCCGTGGAGAACCGATGGTGTCAACTGAGGGACACAGTCCAATTGACGACGCTGGACGTCCCCGGATACGCAAAACGCCATCAGGACTGTGCCGCAGGATTTCAAGGACGCCGCAATCGTCCATCTTAATAAGCGGAAAGGAAACCGCCACCTCTGCGGCAAGCGCCGAGGCATCTCCTTGCTGAACATGGCCGGGAAGATCCTTGCTCGCATTCTCCTCAACCGCCTGAACAACCATCTGGAACAATGTCTCCTACCTGGAAGCCAGTGAGGTTTCCGCCGTCCTCGTGGAACCACCGACATGATATTCGCCACCCGCCAGCTGCAGGAGAAGTGCCAGGAGATGCGGACCCACCTGGATTCTATTTTCGTGGATCTGACGAAGACTTTCGACACGCTGAATCGCGAAATACGGCTATCTCCTCAATTAACAGCGGATGCACTTTCAGTCGCATGTATCCACAACCACCGTCCATGAACTCTTCTCCGTCAACGACTGCACCATCAACGCCACTTTGGGAGGGGACATGTGGCGGAGCATGGATCTCTTCGCTGTCACCGCCTTTGAGGACTTCGGTTTGGTCATCAACACGGAGAAAACGATTATCGTGCACCAACCGCCACCCAACACAACCCACAGTGCCCCGCAAATCAGAGTGAACGGAACCCAACTGCAAGTGCTGGACAACTTCATGTATCTGGGCAGCACCCTCTCCCGCATCACCAAAGTCGACGAAAAAGTTGTCCGTCGTATTTCCAATGCCAACCAAGCATTCGGTCGTCTGCAGAACACCGCCTGGAACCATCACGGTCTCCATCTCAACACGAGGCTGAAGATGTACAATGCAATCATCCTGCCGACACTGCTGTATGGAGCTGAGACCTGTACGATCCACAAGAAGCAGGCGCGAAGATTCGACCATTTTCACCTCAGCTGTCTTCGACGGATACTGAAGCCGAGGTGGAAGGACCGGATACCCGACACGGATGGACTGGAGCGTACGGGAATTCTCAGCATCTACGCCATGCTGAGGCAACTACAACTGCGTTGGAGCGGCCGCCTCGTGCGGATGGACAAGAGGCTACCCACACGACTCTTCCATCGATATATTGCAAAGGGTTTCACGCCGCCAGTGAGGCCAAATCCGTCGATACAAGGACACTTTGAAGACCTCTCTCAAGCGTCTGCAAATCCACTTGACCAGCTGCGAAGACCTCAACCATGACCAACTGACCTGAATGAGGACACTGAAGACAGGCGGAGCGGTCTACGAGGCAAACTGCATCGCCGCCGCAAAAGCCCAACTAACTCTAACCGCCCTCCCAACCCATCACTTCCATCCTCCCCCCTCCTCCTCCACTGCCTCAACGTCTGCCGCTGTGGCGTCTGCCACGCGCCTCAACATGACTTACAACCATGACACACCAACCAACACCAACATCATCACCGTCGACACCAGTGGTGAGGACCTGTTCTATACCTGTCTTCATTCCAACCGCACCTTCACCTCGCTCGTCGGCCTGATCAGTCACTTGCGGATCCATCGCACAGAGACTGGCGAACCAGTGCCTGGAGCACCAACCTACACTCGTCGTATCCGCCTCAATTGCCCTCACTGCACCCGCACATACATGCACCGCATGCGCCTATTCGGTCACATGCATATTTACGAGAGCGGAATTAATCGGAGGCCTGAAACACCTAGCATGCCTAGCCCAGTTTAAGCTCCGCAGACCAGCGTGCCCACCGCCACCAGCTCCACCACACTCAGTACATCTTGCACACCCACTATGCTCATCCAAACTCACATCCCATCGCCTATCGCGCCCACCACCACCATCGTCGACCTCTCATTTCCACACTGTCCCCCCACCTTCACCTCACACATCGGCCTGATCGGTCACTTGCGGACCCATCGCACAGAGGCTGGCGGACCAGTACCTGGAGCACCAACCTACACCCGCCTCCACTGTCCACATTGCACCCGCACATTTATTCACCGCATGGGTCTATAAGGCCACATGTTTCCACGAAAACTCTCAGTAGACCACCGCCGGCTGCGTCACACTACCACATCCTCTCTCACCAGCATTTAATCGCACACCAATCTCATCTACCTCAAACACCCAACAGCCATCTTCTACGCAAATGGAAAGCATGCGCCTCGGCTCCTTCACTATGCGCCCCCCCCTTCTCCCCCCTCAGCTGCATGTGTGATTGGACTCCGAGACTGCCATGGTGCATCGAGCACCGTGGCTCGGAAGGGGGTCGACTGACGCCCCAACTCAGTCCACGCAGTCCGTCCAGTTGTGGGTGTGTTTGTGTGGATTGGCGGACTGGTGGGCTGAAAGCCAGGCTGAATCGGCTCCTTCTGCAGCGATATATGACACTCTCATATATGCGAGGCGTGTGTACTCTATGGGTGGTGCCTCTCAGTTGACGACTTAGTCGAAGACTGTTTGGTTACCTAACCTTGAAGGGTGACAGCTCAAGATACATGCAGGACCACGTGTCGCCCTTCTAGGTCAAAAGGTCTGTAGGCGTGTGCTGTGCGAGTATATGCGAACCATGCCCTCGCAGTCTGGTATGCACTGATAGTCCCCTGAGACCTGGTTCCCTGCCAGTAGATGCGCTTGCGTTCCCACTAGGTACACAGGTGGTGGGCATGGCTGCCCAGTCATGCCTGCCGCTATGGTCCCCGTTGGGGTGTTGCTGATGCTGTTGTTGGCGAAAAATCCTAGTTGCTTGCTGTGTGGACCAGGGGGTGTGGGACGCCTAGGTGCGGCTCCGGTCCTCTTGACTTTGTCCTGACATCGGGTCCAGGCGGGGAATGGTGAGGAGAGTGTGGCAGATGATGCGCAAGTCCACTACCATTATAAACTAACTCACGCGCAAGCCACCGTCCCTGCTCCGTCTTGCTGTGGAGCACACGGTTGACATCGTGGAAACCGACGGCCGAACTCTCGGGTGCGGATTCAGCTTGGTCAGTCACCACATCCGCGCCCATATGCAATCGCTGCCGCTTTGCTCTACGAGCGGAACCCCTTAGGCGTGTGGGCTGTGGCAGGTCACCGCCACACCTTCAAATAGATATTCGAGCAACGATATTAAGGCCGATGACCTGGCATTTGGTTCATAGTAAGCTGTCAAACTGCATGGCATTCGGCGTATTGGGGTCACCCAGCCCGTGGGAACAGCCCCCATTTCCCCAATTTTTGTCAGGTCGAACAACCAATCTATTTGTTGCATCAATGGGCGTTGGCAGATTTTCATTAGAAATAGGTTTTCGCCAGATGTCTTGTTCCGCCCTTCTGATGTCTCATTCAAGTTCCTGCAGTGGAAAGACGACCGTAGTCACAAGTACGTTCAGCCGCCGGGGTATCAAACCGAAGGGCAACAGATGAGTCAGGCGCCCTCAGTCTGGAAGCTGGGCGTGATGTCCGACGGAATGCAGTGACAACAAACTAATGCCAGCTGTTGTGCAGGCGGACGAAATGCTTAACAAACCTCCCAGAGGCATTGCAAGTGAAGCACCTTTCGAGATAAAAGGCCGTTATAAATAAACTCTAGCCGAGTTTGTGCGAAGCACATTGGCGAATGTCAGGCCTTCTATCATACGAAGACATGCAACCATGCCGCCACCAGGACTGTTTCACTGAAAAAAAGCCCTTGCGGTGGAAAATGCCACGAGGGACCCCAAGAGATATTAGACTGCTTATTATTTTTTTGACCGAAAACACTATAGAGGCGGCTGTTGCCTCAGTCACAGCGGCAGAGTATTTGGAGACTGCGCAAGTCGCCCCCCCCCCTCTCCCAGGCAAGTAGTGAGGCCGTCAGGCTCTCCATCATAGCGCGTCCTGAGTGATTAACGGTGCCCATCTCGGCTCCACGCAGGAATCTAACATGCAGCTGGTGCAGCGCGCCAGGCCACTGGTCCGTGTCGCAGAGGCACCTAGGACAGCCACGCCGTTGATAGCGAAACTAGGATCCTTGTCCTTTGCGCAATGCCTTCTTGATGTTTATTGCCCCACCGTTTGTAGATGTCGTCTAAGCATTCGGGACCGCTGGGGAAGCACAATCGTAAACTGGAGCACCCGCAGAAAACATACAAATCAGAGTCCGGGAAGGCACCAATATGCAGAGTCATATTGGCAAAATAATCGTTGGCGACCTGCCCCTGGTCCCATTTTCGTGAGGTGGCGGTTTTGGAGGGTTGCGCGCGTGGTGCGTATGTTGGTGATTTGATGTGAGGTGTGGTGATTTACAGCAGGTTTCCATGAATGCGCATGTGGCCGAAAAAGCCCATGCGGTGGCTGAATGGGCGAGGGCAGTACGGGTACAGCCGAATGCGTCTGGTGTGTCTGTGCTCCAGGCGTTGGTTCGTCAGTCTTCATGTGATGGATACGCAGGCGAACAAATAGGCCGATGAGTGAGGTGAATGTGAGGTCGCAGTGGGGAACGGTTGGGACCGAATTCACATAGTTAAGACAAACCCAGGTCGTCCCACACAGCTGAAGACCTCGCTAAATGAGCAAGGACGCGTTTGTTCACGATATCTAGTGCAGCAGACAATCTTCGAGATTGGGAAGTGTGTCGAAGAAATGCCTAACGTGAGTTCGAGGCGAATAAACGTCACTTACTGGCAGAAGACTTCACGCGGAGAGGGGAACCATCGGTAATGGGGGAAGCTGCACGTCAGACGCGTCGGCGTGTCCATTTTGCCACCGGCCTTCGCCTAAGGCTCTTCTTTCAATATCTATAAACAGTGGGGACGCCATGCGACCAAATCCGTCTTCCTAGGGTTTCCACCTCCTTGAGATAAGTTAAAAAACCTATACTTCCTACGACCACTATACCAGTCTAAATAGTCCCCTCCGATCCAAAAAGTATCTGAATGACCACGTAAATTATTTATTCACTGGGCAACATCGGTATAGGGTTTTGATTGCAAAGTCAACATCGTCAAAATGCACTTTATTTAAAACAACCGAACCGCTGAAACACAGATTTGATAAGGCGTCAAGTCCGAACAGCGCTGATCTAAAGAGAAGAGAAAGTTCAAAACAGCAACGTGGAGAAAGCCCAAAAGTCAATGAACCTCTAACTAAACAAACTGCGAAACAAACCTATGTGTAATTCAGACCTAAAATGTAGATTTATAAATGAAAGCGTTGAAAAAGCCCACCGCAAAGCTAGAGGTTGAGATATAAACCAGACGCATTGCAAGTGGGCGTTTCTGTCCCGTGAATCTGCGTGAACAGCGCATCGCCGCAGGTCGAAACGTCGGTCCACGTACGCCCGACCAGTGGCAAATTTAAAACTAACGATCCAACAAGAGTGTGAAACTCCCGACATTTTCGTTACAATGGACATCCAGCTCGGCTTACTTCTGGCAAATTAGAAAAGTAGATTGTATTTTTCGGCTTAACGCCTTTAACTGATACGCGCGCTAGCAGACACAAAGAAAATATCTAGTATGGTAATTCGAACTTAGTTCGGGCTGCAGGACAAGGACAACAGTCGGGAAGACGCCACCGATGAAAAACGAGACCCAAACATATTACTGGGAAGTCATAACGTGAGATCAGTCCTACAAGAGACAAAAGAAAGTAAAAGTTGTTAGTTACCACATCATCAATTTTCAGGATACTGCGCACGGTTTCTGTGGCGAGAGTAATCGCACTGTGGCTAACTTGAAGCGGCTGCAGGACATTTTCGGCGATCATGTCGGTGACAAAACCCTAAATGAGAGAAATTTGGAGTAACTGGTGAGAAAACAGGGTGGGCAATCAAGTACGCGGCCCAACAAGAGTGCGTGGAACACATTTCGGGAAAATGCGCACACTAATTTTACCTTTCGCACGTTGATGCCAGCATTCACCTCTCCGTTTGCATGACGAGAACGGAGCTCGGTAACAGTCTGGATAGGGTTTAGACCGGCATTTTCAGCCAACGTGTAGGGAATGACTTCCATCGCATCTGCGTACGCACGTAGGCAGTACTGTTCAAGGCCCGTGGAAGTAGCAGCTAAAGCAGCTAACTTCTGCGAAATTTCGATTTCGGGGGCACCCCCACCAGCTACCAGGGCACTGTAAGACAAAAAGGGACATCTCGAGATTCTTTAAAGGCTGTAAAAATATATCATAATAAAGATGATTATGAAAAAAAATTGGAAAGTAAAGATTTCCCCGAACCAGTTGGATAGCAAAATTAGTAACAGTAATCAGCTAATCCGGCCCACACTA